ATTTTGATGGAACGCAAGAATTTAGAGCTCCACCTGAGCCGCTTAATGGAACTATTTCTTTAAGGCAATTGGAAGATCATGGATTTGGGAGTAACTTACCTTGGAAGAAGAAAAGTATTTTGTTCTCATTGCCTTATTGGCAATATAATGTTCTTCGTCATAATCTTGATGTGATGCATATTGAAAAAAATGTTTGTGATAACATCATTGGAACATTGTTGCATTTAGAAAAGAAAACAAAGGATAATGATAAGGCTCGTTACGATCTTGTAGACATGAACATTAAAAGCCAACTCCATCCAAAGATGCATCAAAGTAAAGGTAAACAATATTTTCCTAGAGCTTGTTACCAAATGACATCAAATGAGAAAGAATCATTTTTGGAAGTTCTTGAATCAATAAAAGCTTCAGATGAATATTTATCTAATATTTCAAGATGTGTGATAATGATAAGGCTCGTTACGATCTTGTAGACATGAACATTAAAAGCCAACTCCATCCAAAGATGCATCAAAGTAAAGGTAAACAATATTTTCCTAGAGCTTGTTACCAAATGACATCAAATGAGAAAGAATCATTTTTGGAAGTTCTTGAATCAATAAAAGCTTCAGATGAATATTTATCTAATATTTCAAGATGTGTACAAGTGAAACAACACAAAATATTTGGTCTCAAAAGCTATGATTGTCATCTTCTAATGCAAGAGTTTCTTCCTATAGCTATAAAAGATTGTTTGCCTAACAAAGTTAGTTTTGCTATAGTTGATCTTTGTCATTTCTTCAAAGAACTATGTAGTAAGGTGCTTAATGAGTGTAATTTGGAGCACTTGGAGCATCGAATAGCAAAAACAATGTGTCAATTAGAGAAAATTTTTCCCCCAACTTTTTTCACTGTGATGGTACATTTAGTAATCCATTTGGCATATGAGGCAAAAGTTGCAGGTCCAGTTCATTACCGATGGATGTATCCCATTGAAAGGTTTGTTTTTTCTCTCAATAATTTATTAAAATTCTATAGTTATAAAGTAAAATGACATTATCATATTACATAGCCTAATTTTTTTTTTCTTCAGATTCCTTTATACTCTAAAGTCATTTGTTCGTAATCGGGCACATCCAGAAGGTTCTATTGCAGAGGGATATCTAGCTCATGAATGTTTGAATTTTTGTTCACGATATCTTTCTGGGGTGGAAACTCGTTTTAATCGATCTAGTCGAAATGATGATTCTCATTTTGTAGAGAATACAAGTCTACTAAACCCTAGAGGTAGACCATTGGGGAGAAAGAGTCAAGTTGGGTTCAACATGAAGAAAAGAAAAAGAGTTTGTCGAGAGTCTCTTGATAAGAAAACATTGCTACAAGCACATAGATATGTGCTTTTTAATAATAGTAATGTTGACACCTTTCAAAAGTAAGATCATTTCTTTCATTCATGTATTTAGTTACTGAAATTTGGTTTGTTATACCTTCATTTGTTTTTTAATTTCTTTTTAATTTACATAGAGAACACATTAATCTTATTAAGAGACGAAATCGTCGACTATCTCCGTATGAAATTGACAAAATTCATAGTCAAACATTTTCAGATTGGTTTCGTGAACGAGTAAGTGTTTAGAAACATCCATTAATAATATTGAATTTTAGAATCATTTGAAATTTGTGATTAAATGTTATTAAAATTGTGGTAGGTTGCACGTTTGGAGGAGCAAGGTAGTGTTATTGTCACAGATGATATCAAGTGGCTAGCACGTGGTCCACTAGAAATTGTGAGGAAATATAGTGGTTATATTGTTAATGGAGTTAGATTTCATACAAAGAAACGTGAAAGATGCTTAAAGACTCAAAACAGTGGCATTGTTGTTACTGTTAAGGCAAGAAGTTATGCTAGCACAAGAGATAAGCAACCTAAGGAAGGGGAAATAAATTACTATGGTGCATTGACAGATATAATTCAATTGGATTACTCGGGAAGATATAAGGTTGTACTTTTTAGGTGCGATTGGGTTGACATAAATAGGGGTTGCAAAATTGGCAATTTAGGCATGTCATTAGTAAATTTCAATTATTTGCAACATACTGGGAATGATATTTGTGATGACCCATTTATTTTTGCATCTCAAGCCAAGAAAGTATTCTATGTGGGAAATAAAAGACAAAATGATTGGCTTGTTGTTGTGCATGCTAAAGTTAAAGATGTATATGACTTGGGTGATGAGATGTTCAATGACATAGATCAAGGGAATGAACAAATCTTAGAAGAGATAACTGGAAATGATTTGATCAGATCAGAAATTGATGATATTGATGATGTTATTGAAGTTACAACAAATATGGAAGACATTCTCCAAAATTTTGAGGATGAAGATGGTACAAGTGATGAAGAAGACTTTTTCTAAATTAATGTACTTTTTCTAATTTATTGTAGTTGCAGGTATGTTTTTTTTTAATCTATAACTTTATATGGTATATGTGATGACAATGTTTCTTAAATCCTTTACTTACCTTACAAAAGTTTAAAACTAATTTTTCTTTGATATTTGTAGGAAATACCATGAGGAGACGCAAAAAGTTGAATATTATTAAGAAAAATAACCAATCACAAGAAAGAGAGCATTCAATTGATAGCTTTAATGAAGTAATCCAAAATCATCACCCAATAATTGGAGAAGGTATATAAATTTATAAGCTCATTTTTTTCCCTTTTATCTTGATTTCTTTATAATAGATATAAAAGAAAATATAATGAGATCTCAATTAGGACAAGTACAAGATATAAGCCATGTTGAGATTCACACTTCTTTTGGTAGTACAAGTGAAAGTTCAAGTAAAGGTAATAATTTTATTGCCTATTTAATTATAAAGTATATAAATTTTACTTGAATATTTCATTAATGTGACATTCATACTTGATTTAGGTAAAAAAAGGACTAGAGGTTATACACATATGTTAGATGTGTGGGACATGCCAGATGAAGAATTTATACTTGTTGAAGTGGATGCTTTGGGAAATCCTATGGGTTGGGAAGGAAAGACTTTATTAAATGCAATAGGGAGCTTAGTAAGGAGACATCAATGTGCTCCTATCAATTTTCTTAGCTGGAAAGACATGCCCGAGTCTTACATAACTAACATGCTTGATTTGATTCAGGTATTGTATAAATTTTTATCATATCTATTTCATTTTTAAAAAATTGGATGGAAAATTGATGTCAGATGAAGAATTTATACTTGATTCAGGTATTGTATAAATGAAATAATAATGGGTGATTTAGTTTAGGAAGTTAAGTATTGAGTGATGATAACAACTTTCTAACAATTTAGTCATTAATTATTTATTTTCTAACAATTTTCATAATAGAGTAAGTTCCAATTTGTTCCTGAGTTGACCGAGGAAACAAAACAAATATTAAAGGATAACATGAGTGGTAAGTGGAGACAATTTAAACATGATTTGAAATCAAAAGGATACGATGAAAGCAAAACTGAGGTAGAAATGGCTGCCAATATCCCTGATACAAGAGTTGATCCTTCTCAATATCGTGCTTTAGTACATCATTGGTGTTCCAAGAAAGGACAGGTATGTGAATAGTATTTAAATACAATTGTGTAATTTTTTCCTTTTTTATTCTTCACTTTTTATTCAATGTTTATAGGAAGTAAGTCATATCAACAAAAATAATCGTTCAAAATATGAAGATTTACATTGCATGGGAACTAAGAATCTCCCAAGGCACATTCATGAGATGGTTTGTTTCATCTAATATTTCATTTTACTATGCCACTTGTATGACTATTTTTAATTAGTTATTGAGCATATATAAAATATAAAATAATTGACATTTTTACTTCTTAATATTAGATAACAAAAGCTGAAGGAGTGCAACCTTCACGGGCTGAAATTTATATTGATACTCGAACTCGAAAAGATGGGAGTATTGTGACTGAAAAAGCAGCTCATGTAATTGTAAGAATTTTAATTGTCAAGCATATATATTAAAGTTTGTGCAACTTAAAACTCTCCGAGATTCTATTTTTATATTCCAATCTTAGTATCTAGTTCTCCTTAATTAGTTGCTATAGTGAAAATATTCATTACTTGTGTGCAGTGCACTCCTGGAAAAT